AGTACCAGTGTTTTATAGTCAAAGGTAGAAATTAATTTTCCTTTCCTTTCTAAACCAGGCAGTAGAAAAACAGAAAAGGAATATTTCAAAGGAGCAAAGGTGTCATGGGAAAGAGATGTTCTTAGGTACTATTTACATATCCTTTCCTTTCACAATGGAGAAAATACCAATGATGACATAACTTCTCTTGAATATATGTACCTCAGAAGATCAGCAGTCCTTTCTGCTAAATATTGCCTGCCTTTTGGTTAGCATCTCAGAGCCTTATTTATGGGTCTGTCAGGCCTTTACATCTATGACTCAGCTTCAGTAGTTCCAACTTTTACTCAAACTGAGTTATGCCATACCTGTTTACATAAAGTTTTTGCTGGGCATGTCTCAAAATAATTAAAAATTCCTCTATTCCATTAAATAATCTACACTAAATACTGGCTGTTACTAACCATTCCCCTTCCCTTCCAGCCTCAGCTTTAGTTTTGAAACCTTAGATTCAAAGGAACCAATTTCACAATCAAGTGAAAATTATACATATAATTAATTTATTCAACAAAGATTTTTAAACACTTACTTTGTGCAGTGCAGTCTTTGACAGACATGGGGAATGTAAAGATAAATAATGCTAGGCCACAAAGAATTTATAATCTTATAAATAGTAGTATAAAGTACTGTGAGATCACGAGGATGAGATTACTTACAGAAAGATTAAGGAAAGGCTTCAAAGAGTAAGGAACATTTAAGCTAGACCTAAAAGAGCAAACAAGGAAGCCAACAGGCAGGTTATATAACTTTCTTTTCCTTATTTTAGAGTTAAAACATCAGGACAACAGATAGGGAGTGGTGGGGTGAAGAAAGCATACGGGTAAATATGGCTGCTGACAAGATCCCTTCCTTCTTTTGGCCTCCAGAAAAATGGAGCATGGAGCTCCTCTGGAGTGAGTGAGTGTACAGAGCAGTCCCTTTTTGTTTTTTTCTGAGCCAGAGGATCTCAAAAAGGCCAGAAGTGTCTCTAACATAATGTCTTCTGCCTTCCATGAGGGTTTTTGATGTGTTTTTAACTCTACTATTTGAATGGTAGTATTGAGTATAGAGGATCCAACCTTACTCTTTTCCACTATGGCTACATTGTTTAGGGCAGCAGTTCCCTACCTTTTTTAAAAGTGAAGGTCCTCCCTTTTAATGTTAAAATATTGTATCTTCCCCAGAAATAGTGAGAATGATGGTGAAATTATGGTAGTTATTAAGAAAATTAAGAAAATACCTAATGACAAAAGGCTACAAATAAAGCCAGTCTTGTCTTTCAATGAATTTATATTTTATTACATCACTTTCTACATACATTTGGAAAACAGCAATATGTATAGTACGATTGTAACATATACTTATATTGATATGAGAGGAATACCTAGCCTCGAGGGAAGAAAGACTTGGGTTTCAAGTCCTAGCTCTGACGCATATTGACCGTGTGATCTTAGACAAGTAATTTAACTTCTCAGTGCCCCAAGCAACTCAATTCTTAAGCCAATAAATTTCTGGGTAGGTGTGGATCTAAATTGGTAGAAATTTTCTCACTGGGAGTCTCTTTTATTAGTGAAAGCACAGGTCTAGACCCAAAACAAATGTGTATGTATAAGACATTCTTTATTCGGTCTACAGAAATTATGTTTGATAAAGATCAAAATTACTTAGTGAATACATAGATTCCTGGGTAACCTTTATAATAACTCCATAGACCCTTCGATGTCTGGGACTCACATTTTGGAAACTACTGCTACTTATCATTGTTGTTGTTATTGTCACCATTATCATTTATACTGCACCTTAAGGTTTGCAAAGTACTTTACATGTATTGTCTCAGTTGATTCTTGCTGCAAGCAACAACCCTGTGAGGTCTACATTTTACAGATGAGAAGATAGTCTGAGAGAGGTTCAGTGAGTTACCCAACCAGTAAGCATATACATTTTTATATATATATATATAAATATATACATGATTGATTGTCTGCTATAATAAATATATTACTTTTTTTTCAGTCACTAAATTAGTCAACACTGTTGAATCCCTTCAGGATTTTTGTTAACATGTGGAATTCCAAGGCTAACAATAGATGGCAGTATTTCTTTTCTTACCTTTTGATTTCCTCTTCATTCTTTTTGTAGATTACAGTGACTTTGCATAGCCCTGCCTCACTTAAATCCAATTCACTTGCAAGTTATGGCGTCACTTTCCTGATGTCACAGTCCTCTTCAAGAACAAACAACAACAACAACAACAAGATTGTGGGGACTGATTGAAATAATTCTGATTTTTTCTTAACAGCTATATATTTTTATGAGTGTATTTATCTGGTGTGAACGTACCTCTGATTTGTTTAACTATCTTTTGTATTGTCAGCTAGTTTTCTTAGGCTTTATCTTCAGTTAGAGAGGATATGGGGGAGCAGCCTATTATTTTGTACATTGTGCAGGACCCAAAAGAGCCCATCTATGTCCTTCAGTGGTTTACGATCTAGTTTAAATATGAAGTGAAAATGTAAGGGCTGAGGTCAAGAAACTTGGAGATAAGTGAAGCACAGTGGAAGGAACACTTGATTTGGAGTCAGAATTTGATTTTGATTTTTATTTACTCCCCATTAGAATCTTAGGGAATCACTTAACTTCCCTGAGCCACAGTTTCCTCATTTGTTAGGTAAGATCGATCAGGTATTCTAAAGCTAGGATCCTTGAACTTGCTTTATATATATATATAAAGCAAGTTCATGTATCTATATAAATAGAGAGAGATGACTTTCAATAGAATAGATTTCCTTTGTAATCCTGTCTATTTCATATTATGCATTTATTCTGAATTCTGAAAAGTGCAAAGGCTTTGCCAAACTGCCAAAAGGGTCAGTGACCCAAGAAAGGTTAAGAACCACTGGCATAAATGATTCATTCATCTTATGATTGGAGACGTAGCCTATGGTCATATGAATCCAATTTTCCCATAGGAGATTTTGTGGTCTTGGCTTCATTAATACTGTGCTGCTACAAACACCTGAACTGTAATATATAATATAATATAATAATATAATAAACTGCAAATGATTTACATACACAAAAGCAAAAGGAACATGTAATAATGGGGTGAAAAGAGTGAATGATATCCTTCACAGCAGAGATTAGTCTTGGAGTGAGGTTGAAAGGAAAAGGGGAATATGGATTGACAGGGAAGAACCATGTAGCTCTAACTTCTCAGTGATGGTGGGATGATAACATAATCTTCAACATTTTCTGCATAAGGATAATAGCTTAAGAGATGATTAGCTTTATAATGAAGGACTGGACTAGGGGATTCTTATAGCCTCTTTCGAGTAGAAAATGCTGCGATTTTGTAATTCCAGTGGCATCATAGACGTTTATCTCAGTCTTTCCAAATTCCGAGTAAATCTCTTTATTCAGGGGGTCTTAACTTTCTTTTTCTTATATATTCTTTTCACATCAGATTTTAGAGGTCTAGGATGATAAAGGACAGACATTTAATAGGTAGTCTGTCTCTTGAGAAGACACTTCTTGTTCAGTAATGGTTTTGCCTTCATTTGTGTGCAGATATAATTCAAATATCTTCCTTAATTTGTACCGAGTTTAAAGAGGTACCACTTATTTATTTAAATGTCTGTTTATTTTATGTCTGTTTTCTTATGTTTTCTCTGAGTTACTTGTGTTCAATACGTGTAGTTAGTGAGTGAGCATTTATATTATATAACCAACTTATTATGCCACTTGTGCAGATACAGAAAATCTGATCTATGCTCTTCAATCCAACCCTTCCCTCTAACTCAGTCATTTTCTGAAGGGATTGTCTTGTTTTGTGTTTAATTTTAAGTTTAATTTTTCAGTTTATTGAAGTGGTGAAGGGGGATATAAACCTGTAACTGATGAGATTCTTAAGTGCTAATGTACCAAGTCAGTGGGTCAGTAAAAACAGAATTTCCTATTCATTTCCTGAGTGATTTATCTAGTATTGATACATGTGCACACTTCTGGGAAATAGAACAATTCTATGCTATGTCTACCTTTTTCATCTCCCTACTTGTTCCACAGAGATAAGTGGATTTTATAGCAAAGACCAAAATACAATTTTTAAACCAATGAACTTGAGGTAAAATGGAAATATCCTGGAGGGTATTTGAAAATTAGGGTGAACTTCAAGAGTAGACAGTAGGTTAAAATTGAGAAAATTTGAGGAATATCAATCTAGAATTGGCAAATCAGCTAATTAAGATGGAGCAGATAAGCCAGAGGAGGTGAAATGGGGTACTGTAGAGGCAGAAGAAAAAGACCATGTGAGCTGAGATCTCCTCTGTACCAACCAATAGGGAAAGGGAAAGAGAAGAGAGCAGAACATGGCAAAGGAACAGTCATGGGAGGACCAGGACAGTGCCAACTGCAAGAAATGTTCTTGTAACATGGGATGTGTTACCAACATCAAAGTAGAATCGAAAAGAGGATGTTAAATTTGGCCAGGAGGAGGAGTGTATAGCGTTTAGAAATGTGTATGTTAAGATGTGTATATATAATGAAACTACATCAATCTTAATTATAATATGGCATTATTATGTTACTGTAATTATAATACATTTAGAAATGGTCTGACCAAAAAAAATGGGAAAATAATGTTGTGTTCAATAAAGAAACAGATGTAACTGCATCAGAAATCCATGTGGAGAGTTCAGATTGTCTCATAATTTCTTTTGAGTTCAGTTATGTCCACAGAAAGGAAGCTTACTGGTCCCAAATCTCATGTACTTATGGTGAAAAAAAAAACAAAACTAAGGAGCTTAGTAGAAAGGAAATGCAATTTCTTAGCACATTTAATAATAGTTAACAATTATATAATGCTTAAAATGAGCCAGGCGTTGTGCTATCTCATTTTATCATTTGGCTCATGTATCATTTATCTCATTTTATCATTTGTATTTTTATCCCTAATTTCAAAATAGAACTGATTCTTCTCTCCAGGTATGGCTAAGAAAAATGACTCTTCATTTTCTGATATTGTAAAGGAAGTTGTAGAGCAACAGCAATCCCAAACATCTGAAATAGAGAAAAACAAAAAAATTCTGTTCCAATTGCAGGTAATTTCATTCATTATGCCTTTAATAAAATATTAAATGTATTTAAAACTTCTGCATTAATATAAGAGAAATGATTAAAGGTGATAGGAGATTTCGTTTTTAGGAGGCTTTTTCAACCGTTCAGTTGTACCTGAATTATATTTATATGAACATTCTAATCAGTAGAAAATGTGTCATTCTGTGCATAAAATTAATACAAAATGTTCAAGTGTTTTCTAAAGGCAGCCACTGAAGCAGCTAGTTGGCGTAGTAGATAGAGTGGGAGACCCGGGTCAGGAAGACCTGAGTTTGATCCCTCCATCAGACGTTTACTTGCTGTGTGACCGCTTGATCTTCCTGTGCCTCGGTTTCCTCATATGTAAAATGAAGATAGTGATACCTACTTCCTAGAGTTGTTGAGAGGATACAGTTAATGCGTTGGGAACCTTAAAGCACTATTTAAATGCTAACTATTATACAACTCAGGTTTCACACTTGTATGTGTGTGTATATGAATTCTTTGTTGTTCCTAAAATGCTCAACTCAGCTCACAGCTTTTAATTCAATATTTTCAAAATTGTGGACCACTAATGACTCTTAACCTGAATGGAGCCTGGTGGCTTTCCTTCCTCGCTGCCTCTACTTCCTCAGTGCTTTACAGCCTGACTTTTGGCCCTAATAACTCAACCGAAACTCCTCTCTCCAAAATTACCAGTGCTATTTAAATTACCAAGAATGAAGGTATTTTCTCAGCACTCATCCTTCTTGACCTGAGTGCTTCATTTGATACTGTTGATAGCCACTCCTTCTAGATAGTCTTTCCTCTTCAGGTTTTTGTGATACCTCTTTCCTCTCCTGGTTTGCCTTCTATCTAGAGGGTTACGCCCTCTCAGTCTCCTTTCCTGGGTCATCATCCACATCATACCCCCTAACTGTTAGTGTTTTCCAAAGTTCTATTCTGGGTTCTTTTATCTTCTCTCTCCTTTTTCTGAGTAACCTTATCCACTCCCATGGGTTTAACTATCATCTTTATGCATAGCATTCCTAGATCTATATATTTAGCCCAATTCTCTGTCCCAAGCTTCATTCAGTTCCTCTTATACTCAATTATTGTTGTTGTTTCCAGTTGTTTTCGGTTGTGTCCTACTCTTCATGACCCCATTTGGAGTTTTCTTGGCAAAAATATTGGAGTGGTCATTTCCTTCTCCAGCTCATTTTACAAATGAGGAGCTGAAGTGAACAGGGTTAAGTGACTTGCCCAGAGTCTCACACAGCTAATAAGTGTCTGAGGTCAGATTTGAACTCAGGAAGATGAGTCTTCCAGATTCCAGGCCTGGCACTCTATCCTCTGTGTCTCAACTGGCCTCTCTTTCCTTATTCACAGAATGAGAAGATTAGAGTGGATGAACCCTAAAGCTCCTTCCAGCTCTAAATCTATGATTCCATGACCACAGATTGTAATCTTTCCAGTATTTTTATAAGTTGTTGTGGCCTTCCAAAACTCATTACAGAGTGGCCAACTTGATGGTCATTAGCTTTTCTAAATTTAGAGTAGGCTGGTCTTTGGAGAGCAGACACAGAGGCTGTCACACAGGCTGTCATTGGAGCCCTGGGCCCAAGGCTTTTTAGCCTGATGGGACCTTTCAGAGCCTGAATTCCACTAGCATAGTCTTCATGAACTCAAGTTTAGGTCTATATCATGTTAAGTCATTGGAGGAAGACTTTAGTAGAAAGATCTTTAAGAATTAGATTTTAACTTGAAAATATATTACCACCATCATCACCACTTAGCAACAACAATAATGATAATGAAGACTACCATGCATTTATATGAAGTCTAATAAGTTTTCAGATTTTTTTAAACATGTGCCAAGACTTAATTGCCCTAATTAACTGTCTAAATTGGAGTAGTTTAGGCATATTTATGGACTTCCTAATTCATATACTTGGAATAGCTAGGTGGTACAATAACAGTGCTAGTCCTGGAGTGAGGAAGACTCCTCTTCATAAGTTCAAATCTGTCCTCAGACATTTACTAGCTGTGTGACCCTAGTCAAGTCACTTAACCCTGTTTGCCTCAATTCCTCATCTGCAAAATGAGCTGGAAAAGGAAATGGCAAACCATTCCAATATCTTTGCCAAGAAAATCCCAAATGGGGTCAGGAAGAGTTGTACACCACTGAAATGACTCAACAACAACGATTCGCAAGCTTGGGTATGGCCCTCAAGAACATTTTAATTGAAATTATTCCTTAGTGAGTGATGTTTTTCCTTTCTTAGATTAGCTCTGGCTTTAGGCATGGGCATCAAGGTTATCAGCTGTGATGTAATGACATTGATATCAGGATGTCAACATATTTTTGATTGTTAAGTACTAGACCTTTCTATCATAGAGCAATAAAAATGTGTTCCATTCTTCATGTCACTTTCCACACTTATCTTGTTTGATCCTAGCAACAGCTCTGCAGAATAGACTGGATAAGTAAGTAGACCTGTTCTACGTACAAGAAAAATGAAGTTCAGGGGTTAAAAGTCTTCTCTAAGGTCTCTTGGCTAGGACTAGACTCCAAGTCTTTAGGTACATACTCCGGCGCTCTTTCCACTTCACTGCACACATGTTCTCTTTGCATTACTTCTATTATTTCCCAGTTATGCTTATTAACACAAATTATTAAACATAATGTCAAAATAAATTGTTAGGATCAAATAATAAAAGCCACATAGCTAGAAGTAAGTGAAAATTGTAGAAAACAGAGCTCCAAATTCTGTAAGAAATTTTTAAAAAATTTTAATTTAATTTTTAAAAATTTTAAAAATCACTCTGAGACATTTTCTTGTACATCAGTTTCTCCAAATCTGAAAATACATATTTTTTCAGATTGTTTAAGTGATTTTCCTGCATGTATTATGCATCAGAACAATGACACTCCGCTGATGTTGAATGTCATGAATTAATAATGATAATGTTGAACTATATTACAGAATGAAGTCCGTGAATTTGAGAAACAAATAGGCTCTGTCATAGCAGAGACCAAAGAAATAGAAAAGCACATTTATCAACAAGAAAGTGAAATAGAAAAAACCAAGCTTCACTGTGGAAGCCTAGAAGCTCAAATCAAATCCTTACATGCAGAAAATGTAAAGCTCAAGTTTTCCATAGAAACAGCACAAGAAGAGTTTGAAGAGTACCGTATAAGAAATAATGCATATGATGAGAAAATAAGATTATATAAAGAAGGTATTGCTGAGGCAGAAAATAAATGGCCATTTATGATTGAACTCCATCTGAAAAAAGAAGAAATTAAAAAATTAATGACAAAGAAAAAGGAACTGACCCATGATCTCCAAAATCCAGAAGGAAACATGATAAAACAAGCACAGGTTTGAAATATTCTTTTTTAGAGCTTATCTTTTTTATTTTTTTTATTTTTTGCAAGTGCTGTATAATACATTAGCTGGCAAGGGAGTGTTAACTCATGATTAAGCAGTAGGCCTACTTTTTAAACTCTGTTTTAACTAAGCTGCTCAGATGGCTTTCGTAATTCTTTTCAGTTTTGTGAAGTGTTTGAAATGAGTGACGACAGTGTCAAATGTGTGGAGGCATAAGTGAAAATGAAATAAAATCAGATTTATAAAAAATATAGAGGAAAAAATACTGTGAGCAATTAATCCATTTGTGGTTAAAAATTGTGATTCAAAGAAGTGCTCAAGCACTTGGTTCCAGACTGATAGATCCAAACCAACTCAAATCAATTTAGTATGCCTAATGCTGATATGGAAATAATATGAATTAATGCTTGTCCCTTAAGCTGTCTTCTTCTTTTTCCTGCTGTTCTTTGAAGACTGGGAGTGACAAACTTTAGGGTGTCAAGCATTTCTTCATGCTGTTGCTGGGCTGTAGCCAGCATGACTACCACTGACCTTTGTATCTTATTTCCGCTTGATTCTTGGTTCTGTTTCAGAATTTAAGGGGTTTTGACTAAGTTTCTAATTGTAGTTGTGTAGAATAGAAATATTTAAATGATGCTTAACAGCTTCTAGGTAATGTTTTTTAAATCCCAATGATAACTGTGTTTTAGATTTTATGTACTAGTACTCATCTTCAATTTACCCATGTACTTTCAATTTTATATACAGGAAGAAATTATGAATCTAAAAGATAAAATTGTAACTATAGAGGCATCTATCTCCACAAAAACTAAGTTGCTTGAGGAAGAGAAAAAGGTACATGAAAAATTGATGAAAGAAATAGAGGTAAGTTTTAGATACTTGAGTTAATTTTTTAAAATCTCAGTTCTGTATCACATAATTTTAATACAGTTGTCAGTTTTCCATTCTAGTGAAGGCAGAGGAGTCAGTAATCTGAAATTTAAAAAAAAAAATTAAATCTAAATTCATTTTTTGGATTTTGAAATGTGACCAGGGAATCCTACTTTTCAGAGACTCACAAAACTTCACCACAAAAGGTGTGCTGGCCCCGCTCATTTTTACTCTTTAAGCTGTGATTCGCTGATTCGTACAGCTGCTGTGTTACCACAGGATAGTGGAGATGAAATATAGCTTATTAGAACTAGAGAGAACCTTAAGAGTAGACAGTGTTCTATATGGAGGAATCCTTAGACATCATCTATGCCAAATGTGGGACCAAAACACAGCATCTTTGATCTGAAGTGTCTAGAGAAAAGAATCTGAACTGATATTTCTTCCCAAGACATCGTCATTTCTACCTCCGCTATATCTGTTGTGTCCATTCACCTCTCCCTACTTACACTGCTACCATCCTGCAGTAGCTTGCTAGTTCTGGTCTCTGTGCCTCAAGTCTCTCCTCACTTAGCTGCCAGAATGATCTCCCTAAAGCGCAAATCTGACCCTAAATGCCAGGTTCCCTTTTACTTTCAGTATCAAATATTAAATCTTTACTTTGGGTTTTAAAGTCTCTCACACTTTGTCCCTTTCCTGCTTTTCTAGTCCTCTTACACTTTACTCTCCTCCATGTATTTTACGATTGGGTCACACTTGCCTTCTTACTGTTCCTCCCATGTGACACTCCATCTCCTGACTGTGTTTTCGCTGACTTCCCCCCATGCCTCTTCATTTTTGTGTCCTGGCTTCCTTGGATTCCTTCAAGACTTAGCTTCAGTCTACCTTCTGTAAGAGGTCTTTCCTTCCTTCTCCCCCTCCCCACCTATGTACAGAGTTGTTTGCATGTTGTCTCACTTACTAGAAGCTGAATTCCTTGAGGGAAAGGAACATGTTTTTACCTTTCTTTGTATCCCCAGCATTACTAATCTCCTGGCACATAGTAAACTCTTAATAAATGCTTGTTGACTGACACTTCATTTCCAGGAATGGTAGTAGATATGATTACTAGTCCCACAGTAAAAAATATAATAGCAGCTTGGGGGTCTGGATCAAGCCAGAAATGGTAAAGGGTTACCCATCAGAATAAGTGATTTTTGAAATTCTTTCTTAAAAGTTCATCTCTTGTTGGCCAACCTTTTGTTGATGAGTTTTTATGCGCTTAGTAAGGCAGGACCCTAGACACCAGAGGTACAGTTTATTGCCTGGTCCATGCCTAAGACTATCCAGCTTAGAAGGAACAGACAAAGCCTGTCTTCTACTAATCTAGTCTTTGGAAACCTCAGGGACATCACAATGCCACAAGGAGACATGGTGGGCTTTAATGGAAGAATATTCGTCACTTTTTTTTTTTTAATAGAGCATATACAGCTTTAAGTAGGACTGAATTTTATAGTAGTATGTTACCACAGAGACACCTTAGTGACAATTTATGTTCAGATGGTTATAGAAGGAAATTTAGAATAGAGAGAAAATAGATTAAAAATAAAAATCTGTAGTAAAACTGCAAATCTGAAAATAATGCATCTTAAAAGTATTAATTTAGAAATGGATTATTGTTTCTAATGTATTTCATCTGATTTAGAAAAATAGGAAGGTACAAACTGAATGCTCTTATACCATAGACCATGAGTATAATTTACATTTCACTGACAATGAAAATAAAAATTACTTTTCTGGCCAAGATTAATATTCTCAGATGTTAAATCTTCTGTTTTAAAGGTTCCTATCTATTTCACTGGCATTGATGTTTAGTTTTAGATGGAAGGGTGGATGAATCTGAGACTTTCATTTTTTATCACTTCAGCAGATAACTTCCTGCACTGAAAATTAATGAACTGTTTCAAAGCCTTATAACAGCCAGTTTTGTCAAGAATATCTTTTCCATTATAATTTTAGCTTTATTACTTTTAATACATTTAAAAGTAGTTCTGTGTTAACACTACCATAATATTAGAATTGAAAAAATAAAACTTAAAAAATTAGATGCCCCAAGATTAAATTATAAAAACAAAGACTAATATATTTAATGTGTTATGCATACCATAACATATAATAATAATAATCATAGTAGCTTGAAAACATTAATTTTTCTCGTATCTGAAGAAATTTCAGTAAACCATCAGCTAACAAGTATTCTTCTTGAAATAGCATATTTCTTGAAAGGATGTATGTTTCACAACTAAAATAATTCTGTATTACCCATCATGCCTCTTGCTTTTTATAGTAAGACACTACATGATATGGTAGAAAAAACACTGTTCTTGGAATCAAGCAGCAAGCATTTATTAAGTATCTGTTATATGTTGGAATCAGGTAATATATGAATTTCAGTCACAGCTCATACAATTACCAGGTGTTTTTTCTAGGTGTTTTACCATGGCTAAGTAATTTATTCTCTCAAGTCTTTGTTTTCACATTTATAAAAATGTGGTGAATAATAACTCACAAGGTTGTTGTGAGGCTCAGATAAGATAATGTACATAAAAAGCTTTTTAAACCTTCAAATGCCATATTAATGTAAACTATTATTAATTCTGCTCCTTTTACATTTCTAGCCTTCATGAAATTTCTGCTCAGATGCCTCATTGTAGAAGTGACTCTGAATACTTAAATCAGTTAATGGACAAGGCCTTACTAAGGGTCTGTTTACCAGTGGAGTCCCAGGTCCAGAAGGTCTTACCAAGCTGTAAAGATTTGCTACATCATATGTCCAGTGACATATAATGTATCTGTCATTCAGGGATCAGCAAATTGCTCAGAGAGGCTCATGAACAAAAACTTGGGAACCAGGGGATCAGTGTTTTTGGCTATAGTAATCCATAAAAGACCTGACAGGTGTTGGTACTGCTCAAGTGGAGGGAGTAGCTACACTGAGGAAATTATAGGTTTATTCAAGTGTGGTACTCCTACAGCCAGGGTCTTAGTATAGTATTGGGCCTTTGCTTGGATAACAGCACTGGTACATTTCAGTTTTTAATGTTTTCAAATGTTTTACACTTTTCAAGCCTGACTTTTATGCTTTCTATATTAATGTAGCTTTGGTACAACTAATTCAAGTTATTTGTATTTAGCATAATTTTTTGCTAAATCAGTTATTTTAATGTGTTTTTAATCTGGGTCTATGTGAAGCAAGCCGTTAAAAGTGAACTGTCTCTTTTCGTACATCTTGGGAAAAAGTCGATTTAGATAGAGAAACGTGTTTCAGACAACAAATGAAATGGCAGAATACCAAAAAAAAAAAAAAAAAAAAAGCCAAGCACACAAACATCAATAAATGATCTTCAGGAGGTAAAAATAGTATTTGCCAAAACCGTGGATTTGGGGGCAAAAAAGAGTTGGGTACTAAAAGAGACTTTAATAGATGAGGAAAACAAGTAGGCAGAAATTTGTGATAAGAGGCTATGTACAAAGTTTTTATTCCTATATTGTATAGAATTCTGGGTATTGTTACTTAAAAGGACTAGAGGAATTGGAGAACATTTATTAACTCTAAGCTCCTAGAGTTCAAAAGAGTATATTTAACCTACTTTGTACAACATAAGCACTTGATAGATGTGTTCTTTTAGGACAGGTACAAAAGTGACTAAGGATTTGGAAAATAATACTTCATTTTACCCAAAGGGGAAAAAATACCTATCAAGTTGATTTTAGACTTAAAGTATATGAAGATTTTAAGTATATTCAGAAAGTGTAGAAGTAATATGGCAAAATAGTTGGAGAACAGGCATTGGCACCAGGAAGACCTGGTTTCGAGGCCCACCTTACCAGTACTGGCTACCAGACCAAGTCTCTTCACCTCTCAGTGCCCAAGTCACTCTAATAGTCTCAGTTGTAGAGAAGACGTAGATTGGCCCTGGTAGAAGAAGTGGAGCTTTTCCCTTGGACCTCCCTACTCCAGGGAAGTCACAAGGCTAGCCAAAATCAGAAAACAGAAGTTGGGACCAAATATTCTCTACTAAAAGTAGAGGCAAGAAGAAATATTGACGATTTTTTAGATTTACACACCACATATTTCAGAAGTTATTCTATCCCAAGAAATCCTTTCTCTACCATCTGGATAGATATTTCTAATCTACATTTTAAAAAAAGAAATGTTCAGAGCGCCGTAGCTCTGGAGCTGGGAGAAACCTCAGATGTCATCTTATCTAACGCCTTCCTTCTGCAGATGAAGAAACTGGGATGTAGGAAGCTTACGGGATTCACGAAGGTCGTACAAGTAGGGACCATCAGACACAGTGTTTGACCCAGGTCCTCTGATCTCTGAGCCATGGCTTATAAGTATAGAGCTGCTTGCCACAAATCACTCCCCACTCCAGTCCATCTTCCATCCAGCTGCTAAAGCTCAGGTCCCATTATGTCACCCCTGTACTCACTAAACTCCAGAGGCTCCTATTACCTCCAGGATTAAATACAGAATCTTCTATGTGGCTTTCACCGCCCTTTATAATCAGCCCCTCAAACCCCCACCTTTTCATTCTTACACACACACACCCTTCTTTAAACCCTACTCCCCCATACTCTTCAATTCAGTGACACTGGCCTCCTGACTCTTCCAAGGACAAGACACTCCCATCTTTAAGCTCCAGGCATTTTCTCTGTCTCTCTCCTGTATAGAAGAGAATGTTCTCCCTCCTTTTCTCTACCTCCTAGTTTCTCTGGCTTCCTTCAAGTCACAGCTAAAATCTCACCTTCTGCTGGAAGCCTTTTCCAATACTTTTTAATTCTAGTGCCTTTCCTCTGTTAATTATATTCCATTTATCCTGTATATAGCTAGTGCATGTAGACACATTTGCTTGTCTTGTCCCCCCCATCCCCATCAGTCTGTGAGCTCCCTGAGGGTAGGGACTGTCTTTTGCCTTTTTTTTTTCCTTTTAGGCAATTGGGGTTAAGTG